AACATGAAGATCACAGGTACGTATCCACAACCTCCACACAGTCCTGATCTCCTCCCGAAGTGACGATGAACAGTCCTGATCTCTTCCTGAAGTGCCGAAGTGAAGAACAACAGAGCCGGTCACAAAGACCCGGCTACATGACACGTGGCAGCAGCCACGTCAGCAGCAACGCGTGGCAGCTGCCACGTCAACATGCCTCATAGACAGTAGCCAGCCAGTCACCATACCAGCCAGCAGCGCGTCGCCACAGTCTCACCAATGCCAGCACTATGCCAGCGTCCACCAGCGTCGCAGCGTCAAGCCGGCGTCGCGTCGTCAACGTGTAGAGTCAGCGTCAACGCAAGACAGAATGAATCAATCAATGCCAGGGAGTCAACTCTTATGTAGTGTTGACGCGGGGTCTGGACCCCGGATGCTGTATCTCTCGGCCGTCCAGATCTCAATGCGGTCTGGGTACCTGCGCACAACAAGTGAGTGTATCCAACCCAGGGCCTGGGTGCGGTACCTTTGACTGTACAGTTGACTTTGACTCTTGAATTTCCTGTGTGCAGCATTCGGTCACACAGCCACGCTCGACAGTCTTGGTCACACAGCCCGGCGCAGGCGTCAGGTCTACGTTTCCAGGGGCCGGGTTCTGGCCCCAGACGTCTTCTGAACAGGGTTACTGCATCACGGCCAAAGCTTGTTTTGTTTTTTGGGACGTACGGATTTGAGATGGGCCCAAAAATTTGAAAACCTTCTGACGCTCCGACCCTGCCCTGAGCCCGCCTTTTGCTTCTTGTGGCGAGAAGTTATTTTGCTGCAAGGCTGAGGCCGTGTACTGGTGATTTAATATTGCCTTCAGGCCTGACACAGAGATCAGACAGCTGGAGGTTGACCCTAAGAATGGTTTTGGTCAACCCAACCCACGAACGCCCCAGTACCGTCCAGTAGATTACGCTCCCAAACTAGGATACAAACTTGCCATCAAACTGCTTGCTACAAACAAAATGATCAAGAAAAGATAGCAACCGCAGGAAGCCACAGACGCTATCGGACCTACCCTCACAATACTGGGTTAGACTGTCAGGTATCAGACCAACAAAGCTGGCAAGTCTTTTCTGGTTGATTGCCTTCAACGGAGATCAATGACTGGCTAACCAGAGAAGAAGGAAATAATTGAGATCTGAGGAAGCAGCAAAGTGCAAAATTTGCAGACGGGACGAGAAAGAAACACTGGAACACTGCTTCATTGAATGTTCAGACACTGGACAGATTTGGCAAGCAACAAACACTGCCGGAGTTGCCTTTTCACCTCTTCTGGACAATATCTGACCACTTTACCCCTCCCACCTCCCCTCCCAAAAAAAACATTTACGTTAAACCACCAATACGTTCCGCAGCCAGTTTTTTGAAGTCGTTGGTGCAGCCATTTTTTTGAAGTCGTGGCTTTCATGCTGCCACAACTTTTGGGGCTTCAGTGACAGAGCAAAATGGCTGGAGGCGCCAGCCAAAAAGAGGCCTGAGACGGCTTCTTTGTTTGCTTTCGCTCGCAGCGCATTTCCGGCCCTGGAGGATAGTGGCTCGAAAGTGCTGGTGGTTTAAGAAAGGAAGCAAACTGGATCATTTGGGCAAGATGCTGTCAAACAACCCCCAATGGGTGAGACTCCCATTCCTCTGAAGTGATCCACATGATCATTGACGCGTTACAAACTGAAATTAGAATGTGAGAGAAAAAAGTCTGTCAGAGTATAGCAAGAGGCCCCAGTAAAGAGCACATCTTTAAGAGGCAGTTCCAGAGAATGAGACTAGGGCAAGGCAAAGTACCAAAGTTTTCGAACGATAGACACCTCTTCAACGAGCTACGGGTGGCTTATGATTTCTCAGGGAAGTAGCATCTCACCCCAGAGGAGACCACCCCAAAACCAGAGATCCTGTTTCTCAGCATTAACCGATGGGTAAGGAGAGGAATGTGCATCTAACTTTACGAGCTGCAGAAGGATGACAGCCAGGTCACACACAACTCAATAACTCTCTCAATCCCCCTTCTCTTGATGAACTTGAGACAGGAACCCCACCTCTAATTACTAGCACAAGCGCAGGCAACCCACTCCCAAGGAAGAGGGAAATGGCTTACAGACTCATACAGAGATGAATAAAGGGACAAGTACGAGTGATACACAGTAGTAACAAAGGATACAGAGAAGATTAGCATGGCCCCTGTGCAAGGATGACACGCGTAAATCGAGAAATGGTCCAATTTTACATGGCACGGTCATACCATGGCTAATATGCCTGATCCTATATCCGAACTTGGCAGATAAAGGGATGCGTACAGGCCCCAGGTAGATGCCCCTTTGTCGACCCCTGATAAAGGTAGGTGATGGTCTGCTGCTCCAGATATCTTCAACAGAGAAACCAAGGCAGGCACCAGAAAAGACTACAGGTTGTCATGAAGAGATCAGGCAGCCGGCAAGGGCTGAGAGGAGCTGCTCCAGATATCTTCAACAGAGAAACCAAGGCAGGCACCAGAAAATACTACAGGTTGTCATGAAGAGATCAGGCAGCCGGCAAGGGCTGAGAGGAGCAGCGCAGCAGTGGCTCGGTCGAGTCTCCATAAAATTTTCTCTTCAGGAAACAGGGGTGGAGCAGGGGTAGATCCTTCCTTTTCAGCAACCAATCAATGCTGACGGCTAAGGGTCCCTCAGCCTTAATGGGGATAAGTGTTGAGTGAGCAAAAGGTTGTGACTCTTGTGAGGGACACTGAAACCAGTTTACGGCAATTAACAAAAGTTCATTTGCCAAAAAAAACTCGAGGGGCTGTATGACGCGAGGTGTGAGGGATATGCATAGATGTGCAATGTGCATGAAAGTCTCTTGGCCATTGTGGTAAGAAATTTCCCTAAGGGTGGGTGCTGGCATTCCATCCATGACCAAGGTATGGTCAATTTTACTTCAAATCACAAACGACAAGACGTTCCCCGCAATCTCTGAAATACGGTCGTGATGGTAGGGCATGAAACAGGATAATAACGGGTGCTTGTTTGGTGGGTATGGCAGCAGGGGTGTGCCAGATGGTGGGGCATGGAGCGGCAATATGGATGTCTCAGGAGGAGGTAGAGTTGGATCCTACATAGCTAAGTAGGGGGGACCTGCAAAGCTAGACATTTGGGACCTCGAAGAATGGGATGAAAGCTGAAGGTAAGTGAAAAACAATCAGTTGGACTGTGCTTCTATGATGGGTGGGCATTGGACACCACAGAAGTGTCAATGCAACTCCTGGTTGAATTGCAACAAGCCGATACGTGTTTCAATATGTATAGGCCTTTAAGCCGGTCATTTGCAAGACGGCTGGTTGGCTATCATGTCTCATAGACGGTTGCACAGTCGTTGTAGATGGGGACAGGGGGGGCAACATGGGGTGGCCGGAGCCCATGTTCCCGTCTATCAGTTGTCAACAAGGTGGGGGCCACAAGGAGGGGGCCGGGTACGGTCCCTCACCCCACCCATCAAGGCAGGCCATGGGTGCGCAGGACACCCAACAACTTCGGGTCTCGCACCACCAAAAGAGTCTGCTTCTGGGGCTGACGACAAATGGCAGGGGCCCTGGCCATAGCGAGTGACCACCCCTAGAAGTATTTCCCCATCCCTCCTTATGGAGACCCCCAACACCATCCCCAGAGAACGCCACTATCTCAGAAGCCTGGCTGAATGGGATGAATTAGTAAAAGAAAGATACAAGCTTCCTATATGGACCGCGAAATCAAGCACATCGCATACTTCTTACAGACCCCCCCCCTGTCCTACCGCCCTCCTTCATTTGGTGCACCTGCATGCAGCTCTCCAAGATCCCTCCAACTTAAACTGTACACTAAAAAAAATGGCTGAAAAGAATAACTGCTCTACACTCCTTCAATGAAGGGGCACAGTCATTACCACAGCTTCCCGCCCTCCATCAACTATGGAAAACGACCTGGAATAAAGAACAGCACTAAGAATACCCTCCCTCTTATCAGGAGCCTGTGAAGTCCTAAATTACGGACTCCATTGACCGCAGTGCCACGCAAGTAGTCAGAGAATAAAACCATTCTGGACAGGAAATGGGTATGAATTGCCTTTCATCAGATAGAGAAATCCACCCCATGTCATCCCCGTGTCCAACATCCAACCCCTCATTTCTGTCTATGCCTCTTTGTCTCCACCTCTGTCAGTGTCGATTGGATACAGAAATCTGCCCCATGTCCTCCTCTTGTCCAACAGCCCACCTGTTCCATCTCTGTATCCGTCTCTTTCTCGGTCTGTCTCTCTGTCTCACTGTGTCCCTCTCTGTCTGTCTCTTTGTCTATCTCTTTGTTTGTCTGTCTGTCGTCTGTCTCTGTCTATCTGTCTGTCTGTCTGTCCCTCCCTCCCTCCCTCCCTCCCTTGGATCTCCCCTTTTACAAAGCTTGCCGCATTAATCGTCTTCGAGCACAAGCTGCCCACATCCCCGTGCCATAACGACCCACTTTCACGCTATCAAAGGGTCACGGTATCAAAGGGGGCAGAATGAAGCGGGAGTGTGTCTGTGTCTGCGTGACTGTTTGTTGGCTGTGTCTGTGTGTTTTTGACTGTCACCACATCAACCCCTTTTCCACCCAGATGAGTAGATCACAAATTGAAACAGGTTTACCTCACATATCCATCAACTAAAGAAGTGCTCTTTGGGAAGCAACCGGCAATAGAACTGTTGTTTGCGTTTTCATGGTTTCTCTCTTCTTTCTTCTTTCAGCTCCCCTTTTACTGTGCCTCTCAAGTACAAGGCTTGCCGTGTTGATGTGGTTGAGCGTGAACTGCCCACTTCCTCGTGTGACATAACAGCCCATATGCATGCTACAAAAAGGAGCCAAAGTACAGGGGTTGGGTCCATTCCTCTTCATTTTTCAGCACACCTGCACCTTATATTTTGCCTGTTCTCGTAATGATGCTCATTCATATGCATGTAGAGTTCTGCATTAGGGGCAGGCTCACCGGCAGAGCAGACTGCTAGAGGAAGGCAGAAGAGTGCAGTCAGTGTTTGGGTCGCAGAGAAAAATGAGTTGAGGGGCAGGCGTTGCCTTATGGTAAGTGGTCACTGCTGTAGACTGGACAGGACCGGTTTGAGTCTGGCCTGCGGAAACACCACATCCAAATCCAATGACGCGGCATGGACAGATGTCACGAGCAACGTGGCTCCCACATGCTAGGAATGCCGAGGCACGCCGGCCAAAACTATATAGCCACTGTCATTCCAGCTCCTGTCTACAAGCAGCCTATGCCATGTCAGGGTGTCGCACATGTGTACACTGTTGACATCATAGATCTGAGAACAAAGACTTGCATGGGATACACTCACAATCCTCACAACACAAAGCCTGCCAATCACATGCTGGCCAGATTTCAGGTGGGCCATCACAATGTCGCATTGAGCAAGTTTCTTTGGGTTCCGCAGTGGAAGAGCCAAAGTAAGAGGGTTCAGCTATTGCAAGATCTGGTCTGCAGCTGCTCGCCCTGCCAGCGATAATTGTCCAGTACAGCTCACTGGGGGTGGTTCATGTGAGAGTCCCTTCTCTAGCTCAGGCTGCTGTGTCTGTTCCTCATTTGACAAGGATGGAGAGGGTCCGATTACAGGTGCAGCTGGAGGATGCCCAGAGTTGCATCTGGGACACGAACACAGAAGATGTGGCTGGTGATGGCATTGGGGATCGTTCAGGCAGTAGCAGCGCATACTCTCCAGGACAGCCTGGCAACACTGACGACACATGGCATGTTGCTGACATGGTAGCAGGAAAGGAGGCTAATGTTCACAGTTACTCAAGCATGGATGCAAAGGCAACAGCAACATATCGGGCAAAAGATAAGGGGGTGGAGGAGAATGAGTGCAAGGCAACGGGCCACCGTTTCAATGCAGAGGCTAGCAGTGACCAGCCCTTCGCAGTGTTCACAGCAGAGATAATGCTGTGCACACTGCACATGCTCACTGGATTGTGCCACTATGGCAACACAAGGGCATGGTGCAGCGACCATCCTCTGGAGGGGGTCCGCTCCTTGCTCACCATTGGTGGCAGCAACCGTCTGATCTGCACAGGCAAAAGATGCAACGCGGCTAGGTAGAGGGGAGGGGGGAGGGTCGGCCGGCTTGTTCTCTGGAAGCTCTAGAGCTCGTGAGTGCACATCTGCATACTGTTCCTGATCGACAAGCCCGACCGAGCGGGACTCTGCCAAGAGGTAATATTACTCACAGAGGTACCTACTGCCACCATACCACACGGTACATGCATTATCTGCACATAATTCTGCGGAGCAGGCTGGACTCGCAGTAGTCTTCCCTGAATGGCATGGACAGCACTTCCATGTTCATGCCAGCTGCAGCACTGTCATCCTCTGGGAAAACAGCATACGTTGCTCCAGCTACGTGTCTGTCTTCTTGTCTCTCTCCCTATCTCTCTGTCCTCCAAGCCATAGAAAGTACAGATGGTCACTTCCTAAACCCTCCTTGTCTCTCTCCAAACTCGAGAATGGGCTTGATGCGTCCACTGCAAAGCCAAGTGACGCCCCCTCACTGAGGTGTCTGAAACTTTGACACAAGACAGGCCATGCAGGAAGTGCATCTCAGCACCAACGGAACTGAGTAGCGTCCATACTGCATTCTTCGCCACACTTCTGCAGAGGCGGCTGGTTTGCAGCCTAGATTGCACATCATGCACGGGCCAACACTGACCGTGAATGATGGTCCAAATAGACCGATCAAGATGGTGGTGCAGGGATTGCACTTCTGCTCCTGGTATTTTTACAAGAGGTGCTATCAAGCTCAGCAACTCATTTCCACACGATCAAATTGGCCATTCTCTTCGGGCCCAAGCTCCAAAAGGAAGAGGTTTCTCACAGAAGGGGTGAATCGGTCAAGGAGCTTCTAGTTCAACGCCATCAGCGTATACCTCTACCCAAAAAGAGAGTTATCCAAGAAATTCAATTATTTCATCTGCTGCAGAGTGCAGAGTCAAAAAATTTGCCTCTGCCTCAAGATCTGCAGCTTTTGCATTCCCGTTGATAGGAGGAAACTACTTGGGACAGTTGGCCGATAGAATGCATGAAACCAAATCACGTGCAACTTTGATTGACTCATCATAATAATACAACCCACTCTTTGAGTTGACAGGGCGTGACACTTGAAAGCCACTAAGATATCACATGATATGCAAGATGGTCAATGTTTGACCTCTGCCTCAAAAAATGCTCCTGTACAACAATCCACTAGGCAAGATCACAAAAGTCGTGGACAGTCTAACAATGGGATGCGTGCTTAAAATGCCCGCGCACTGCCCCAGGCAGCTTTAGAAAACGAATGGCTCACTCCTGAAGTCTCGGAGGCTCGGGGCGACCGGACCACAGTGGCTGGTGGCACCAACCAAAAAAGAAAAAATGTGCGTCTCTGGCAGCTCAACAAAGCTTGGCGTGCAGTGTGAGCTGCCAGGCTCGGGTGTACCGGAGGTGTAAACCAGTCAACAGTAATGCCCCCCCTTCTGCCATAACAGGTTCTCAGAAGGATCGTCCGTAAGCAATTTATCATGGAGATACAATCCCCTCATCAATTTCAAAGGCAGCAACAGCGCAAGCAAAAACCCAAGAGCTTGCTATCTCAGCCTTTAACCTGCAGCCAGAGCTCTTAGGTCAAGGCCGCCATCCAAGTTATCACCTCTGTAATGCACACATTCAAGTCTTCGCCCCAAAGAACCCCTCTGCTGCAGCCCTGCGCCTCGAGAGATTGGTTCCGTAGTTTGAACGTGCTGTCATGTGGCACTGGCAAACAGGACATTCCAAATGGCCCAGGCAAAATATCACCAAGTACTGTTTTTCTCAATGGGTCCCTTGACTCCATATCCTGGGGTTGAGAGTGGGAGCAGCAGCTTGGTTGCAAGAGATGTTACGCAATGCTGATACTGGCCGTCCTCTTTTGAGTGATGTTAGTCTAGACTACATCCCTCTGCGCAAAAAGCTTCAACACTCCTCGTTGGTTAAGACTGCAATCAGAGTTGTTCATTTTTCCTTCTTTCATCTGTGATGAACGAATTCAGCTCTTTGCCTCAAAGAACACCTCTGCTGCGGCCCACAGCCTTCGAGGGAATCGGTTTGGTAGTTTGAACACACTGTCATGCAGCACATGTGAACAAGATCTTCCAGACGTCCCAGGTGAAATATCGTCAGGTATTTCTTTCTCAGTCAGTCCCTTGATTCCGTATGTTGGGACGCTTCTCAGACCACGTCCGCTGTTGAGAGTGGGTGTGGCAGCTTGGTTGCTGAAGATGTCAGGCGATGTTGATAATGACCGTCCTCTTCTGGGTGATGTTAGTGTGTTTAAAGCACATCCCTCGGGGCAAAGCTCCTGCCCTCCACCGCCAGGTCCTTTTCCCTTAATATTATCGGTCATCGATTGCCCAAAGTTCAGACAAAGGCCAGTCTTTCCCTTTTTCCTCGGGGACACGACAATGCCCGTATCCAATGCTACGCATCCACTCCCTCGACTACCATTCCGCCCACCCTTTCCGCTCTCCAAGTCAACTACCTTGCTTCCTTTCCTAGATGCAGAACCTTCCTTCTCGTCCCGTGCATGTTGCTTGGGTGATGCTGAAATGTCACCAGACGCCGTAACAAATACAGATGGTCCTTTGGTTGCCAACTTTGCAACAAATGCAGATGGATTCCCAGTCCCGTTGCATGCCTTCCACCCACATTCTGCAGCTGCTCCACATCCTGACTCAGCCAACTCCGTCCCTCCTGGTGGTCGACTACCAGTCACATCCCCTATCATGACCCCATTCACCAAAGGTACGGACTGCAGTCGTACTTTCGATCCCCCTGATGTCATTGTTGCCTCCTGTTGGCAAGTGAGGTCCTCTCTGCATGAACGCAGAAAGGAAAGAACCATCTGCATGCTCAGCTCTCGTTCCACAACATCTCTGTTTTGGTCGCACCCATAACATGCAGCAAGAATGGTTCCATAGAGGATTGGCATGAGGCTCGGGTCACTGAAATAGGCAAACGGAAGCTCACAAAGCTGAAAAGAGGCCAAGCCACACCCAACCACAAAATAATTGGAAATGAGAAGCATCGTAAATGTCAGGAATCAGACCATAGCGCAAAGAATAGTCCTGAAATAAAACGATTATGCAGCCCCAATAGTGAACAGATCACAATCAAGGATGTCCAAGAGGTGCAAAAAAGAGTTGCAACCACCACATGCAGGCTCCGAGGCTGATTCCACACATGAAAGAAGGAATGCCAATATGAAGATACGAAGTATACTTCCAACAAATAGGTCCACTATGGCTCTGCCGTGCCCACGAGAGCACGCAATGAAATCAGTTTGTTTGCATGCGGTGTCGGTTTTTTTTTTTTTTTTTTTTTTTTTTTTTTTTTTTTTTTTTTTTTTTTT